AATTGGAGATAAGACGAATGTCTTGTCAATTCCTCCGATTCTTTCCAAACAGTTATCACATCTGGTGGACCGGGCGTGGCCTAGTGGGTTAGCATGTGTGGACTGAGCCCGAGGATCCATAGTTTGCGGCGTTATAAAAGAAACATCATGCATAAAAATTCTTCTCCCGTCCCTGAATAACACATAGTCTTCACTGGATTTAAACCTATTTTAACTATTTCACTTGTGCCTCAGTTTTCATTTTCTCGTGTTATATTTCTATAATCGAATTGTTTGTTTCTTATGTATATATTTCTGTTGTAATTACAAATATTGTTTGTTTGTTTTGTACCTTTAGATTACTGATGATGGAATTATGATGAATCAGAAACACTTAATAAATGCTTCCTATTATCACGTTCGTGTTTTATTGTATTCTCGTTGTTTTATTTGGATTCTATGTCACTAATTCGTACGATTTTTTTTAATGTGCTTTAGTTGTTGTCCAAAAGCAAAACAACTAACATAATTTTCCTACAACCATGTTGAATCTGGCCCTAGGATATCAGGCTCGACTAGACTTTGGTCTGAATTAGCTTATAAACTCTTAGGAATTTTTTTTTCATGGTCCTCTTTTAATTTCCGATTTCTTCCCATATGTTTGAAAGGCATAATTATTTTGACTTTCCACGTATCAGTATAACGTTTCCTCAAAGCGGAATAGTTAAGCATATTACCACAAGTCTATTCTTACAGAGTTAATATTGATTTAAAGTTTGCTCTGTTTTTTATGTCACCTACAGCGCTGAACAAACACACACACACTGAATGATCATTTTCCCACTAAAGACAAAAAAATAAACTTTAAAAACATGCTTTTAAAGTGGTTTGGAATATTTTAAACAGCTTGATCATGACATTAAAAAAAATTTTAAACATCAACATTTGCTGATTGTTTTTTACAGCAAAGCCATTTTGGGCTATCTGCTGTGATCACCGCTGGGAATCAAAACCCTGGAGTTTAGAATTGTAAATCCATAAACCTACCACTGTCCCACTGGGGGACTAAATACCTAAAAAATACTGGTATAAAACAATTGCATAAAGGAATTACCTCAAACTACAAAAACAGGTTTATAGCAATATAAATATTTATATTTTGTTTGATGTTTTTACATTTGTATCCATTTACTCTTTACTAATTGATATTGTTTATTATTAATAGGGCTGATGAGTGGCATATTTGTTTTGGAAAAAAAAAATCATTCACAGGTTTTTCACAAAATTTTACATTAACCATTTTACAAGAGAATATTTTAGCAATATTCATGACCCTAAGTATTCTAAGAGAAATGTAATTAATATGAATCCCTTGGTGATAAGTAAAAAGACTGAAATATTAAAAGCAGATAAAGCATCATAGACAGACAACCTTTTCCTCAGGTTTTAAAGTAGGTCTAAGATCAGATATGAGTCTTCTTCTTTCATTTCTGTAGATAAAAAAAGCAGGTGCCTGAGGACTGGAAAGCTGCTAATCTTACTCCTATTTTTATGGAAATCATAGTCCAGTTAGTCTTACTTCTTTAGTGAGAAAAAATTATAGTCTGATAAAAGAATCTTTATAAAAATTTAGCACATTGGCTGCCGCCTTATAATATATTAAACCACATTCTGGTGCCAATTGCAATATGAACATCTATGCTTAAATCCAACCTCATAATATGATCACAGTTGACAATCCTATGTTCAAATATCTACTTGAAGTGGTTTTTAGTTTGTGTCCACCAGTAACTTTGCCTTCGTTTCCAATTTTTTTTTATGTTTCATGAAGAGCAGCAAAACCACAATGTTATTATGTAAATAAGAACATTCCTGAAGTGCCAAGAAGAAATCACAATATCCAAGAGTCAATTGCCACAAAGAAACCATATTTTAAATATTATGGTCTTTGAACCACCAGAGAGCTATGCGAGTCACATGGCAGCCAGTGTGTTAATAAAATATATTGTCATAAAAGAAAGCCAACATGGATTCACCAAAGGAAGGGACTGTAGGATGGGAGACAGCAAAAGGTTGTTATTAATGGAGTCAAGTCATACTGAACTCATGTTAATTGGTGGAGCAATAATATTAATAGTGTAATAATTAATAAGTTAGTAAAATTTACTGATGACATTAAGCTCTTGGATATTTCTAGCTGCATTGAGGATTTTGAGGTATTAAAAAATAACTTGGATCAACTTTCAATTTTGACAAATTATCTTTAACTACAGCAAGTTTAAGCTAATGCATTTGTGTTATCACATAGATAATATAGATCACATGTTTAAAGATATAGATGGGAACCTGCTTAATAGAGTGACTAAAGAAAAGAATGTTGGCATAATGGTGGATAAGTCACTCAAGTCACCTAATCAGTACTCTGTTCCTTGATATAAAGTTAATAGGATTTTAGTGTGTATATAAAAAAAATATCAATTACAAATCAAAATAGGTAACTAACTATCTTTCTGCATAACTCACTAGTTAGGCCTCATTTTGAATAATGTATGCAGTTTTGGTCTCCTTATCTAAGGGAGGATTTTGACTCATTGAAAATGGTTCAGAAGGCTGCTAGGGATGGAATTTTTATCTTACACATATCCTAGCTTATTTTGAATATGAATTGCATTTCCTTCAAAATGGCAGTAAATACAATAAAATACTTTACTGAAAAGAAAGTTTTTCCCTTAAAGACAATATTTGAATGAAGATTCCAAAAATTCAGTGATGCTTTTAAAGTGATAATAATACATAGATTTTTCTAAATGCCACAGGTGCAACTAATTCTCTTATAACTATTTGATTCATGAAGCAAACAGACGTTGTTACAAAGCTAAAGTTATAGATATTCAAGAAAGCCTTTCGTTTTTTGAGCAAAGTAAAGGTAAAGGACAAAATTGTTTTGGGAGTTTGTTATGCTATCTTTAAAATGGTAAGGTAAACTATGTAATAGTCAAAATCGACTAAATATACGCAGTAAAATTATAAACTCTACGGATAACGTCAACGGTAATTGGAAAGTCTATTTCTTGTCTGAGATAACATTTCTGGTATATATAGACACGAAAACAAAAACTGGATTCACAGTTTAAATTATTGGATCATATAATAAGCAAATAATAGTAGAATACTTAAATGTAAAACCACTAAACATTCAGTGTAATATCAATTCATAAGTTATACATCAAATAATTATATAATCTGGAGATTACTTTAAAACGAATAATAGTTTAACCCACATGCATATCAAATATGCAATAAATAGCGTTATCATTAAAATTTAAGTGTTACTATAGGTTTGCAGACAAAGAGAGGAGAAAACCATGCATGTTACTGAAGAACAACATATCCGTAAAAACTGCAATGTTACTACTGAGTAAATACAGACAGTCAAACACACTGAAATAATGCATAACATTCACACACGCGTCTAACTCCTGGTAACTTTGACACAAAGCTGACTATTCACACACGTCATACTCGTACTGTAATTAAAATAACACCAAAATTAATACTTAAACAACCCGTATTGAGACTGTACTGAAAACGTGTGTTCTCGTGTTCATGCAAAAACATTTATTTTTGCCCGCCTACGCCTATAATAAACAACAAGTTACTTTCGCAAGGTAACATTTTGTCTCAAAACCGAAACTTGAGAAAGTAGATTCTTCTAATTATTGCCTAAAACGAAAAGTAGCACTCTACAGTCATTTCGATGTGGTCTTTTAATATTCTATTTGTTTTTAACCCCATACAAACATGTGCTGTGTTTGCTGAAGAATGCTAAAACAAACTCCGAGAAAGATGTCTTTATAGTCGAAAACTGTTCACCAACATCTATGCATTTAAAATATAAATATTATCCAATTCAAGAATACGATAATATGAATAAAATCAACTTTCGAAGTAGTTTCAACACCGCAGCGGCAGAGATCAAAAGCTTTAAAATTTACCAATATAAAATGTAGGCCTTAATTTATAAATAACAACGGCCCAAGATAAAACCTGAAATATCTACTCAGTAAAACTCTAATAAATGGAAGAAAAGTGTTTTGGCTTTGTCTATTGGCCTACACTCTGTTAATGTGACTACAGTTTAACCATAGACCTTTTTATCATTTTTTTAAACTGAAGATATATTTTAGCATATTGTAGTATAGCAGGTTTCTTCCAATACCGGAAATAAACGGTCTTTAATAATCTTATATTAGTTCCATTAGTGTGTTAGTGTTTGTGTATACATATACTCTTTCCATGGACAAACGTGAAGAAAAATCGAAAAAAGACCGAGTTAACTACACATCCGATTGTATACTTACCATCAAGTGCTCCCGGATATAAGGGCTCTAGCTAAATGTCTAAAAGCAATCTCATTAAAAGCTCTTTGAACGTCGACTCGCTCACTTCTTATTTACTGTAAAAGTTTCAAAACTTGATCTTGTAGAAGCTGTGGAACGCACAAATGTATTTACAGTGTTTCTGTTTAATGAAACTGTGCATTTTCAGTTCCAAAATTAAATCACTTTCGACAGTTTCTGCGTTTTGATGTTCCTACTAATGTCAGTTACTTAATTTCAGAGAAAATTGATTTTAATGTGACCTAGTGAATAAATGATTTTCATGCTTTTCTTCTTTTACATAAAAGAAAAATCTAATCATCGCAGCCCTTCTTAATGATTGGGTAAAGGAAGGCAAGGTGGAAGATAGCAGTTTCAAAATTGATTTTGCAATTAAATCAGATTCAAATCAACGCTATTACGGACGAGTAGTTAGATAAATTAATTCCCAGAACAAAAAAAGTACTACATCACTCACACCAATATCTCTTTGGTTCACTCTCTCATTTTTTCTTTTTTTTTGGTTTCTTGTGACTTTTACTTTCACGCCATCTAGTACATATCGTGCAAATAATTAACATGCATTTGACCACGATTCACGTGCAACACGGCCAAGAAAATGCGGGTATTAAATTAATTCACCTTGCTGGAGTTTCTCTTCTCAGGTTGCAGCAAGCTCTGAAAAATTAGAAATCCGTTGAGGAGAACCTACAGGGGGCTCCTACACTATTTACAAAACATAGAAACGTTAACCCACTCCATAAATAAGCTAAGGAACACATTTGCTAAACATGCTGATTACAAGATTCTGTGCTTTACTGGGAAATAAATCAAGAGAAATGGAAACGTGAAGGAAGGATTCAACTGTAAAGAAAACACTCTGAAATTTACAAGATTACAAAAATAGGTATTATTTAGGAAACCAATGATATAAAAAGTAGATTATTTTATTATAGCCCAAAGACAGATTTAAAAAAGAGAGCATAAAAGTATTAACATTATTCATACCGTATACCTATTTTATGTTGAGATGATACATCTATATTTCATGCTATATACCATAACGTTGATTGACGGGAATACCCACTAATTCTTATTAGTGTAATGATATAAACAATGACAGATAATAACCAATATTGTTTCTTATCGTTTTCTATAAATTGTTATCATATTCAAATTGGACTGAATCTATGTGTTATTATAACATGTTTTCAAACAGCCTTGGATAAAGCTGTAAACTTTTTATACGTGGCTTCTACTTATACATAACAAAACACCTTTTCCATAGTGTTACCAAATTCACGTAGGGAAACTAAACAAAATTTCGTGACAAGATAAAGTTCAATAAAATATAACAAATTTGAAAAATTAAGTGTAATATTAAGGAGTTACAAAAATCATATTTTACTATATACACATCTATACTAACTTCAAATGCATCTTTTCAAAAATCAATTAAATTTAATCTAAATCCATAGTAAATCCTACCTTATATCTTAACGTGGTGACATCGATAATCTTTAGTACTTGTCAAATTAATTATCATCACCTCAAAAACTTGTCGTCAAAGTTTACAAAAAAATATATAGAAAGTCAAAAATTACGTTATCAGCACCGTTACGTCAACTCAAATTGGGTAAGATTTTGATAAGTTGGTAAGGTGGTTAAATTACTCAGACTTTAAATGAAGTTTGTGTCTACTACTTTGTATATAAATAATTTATCAGTATTTGGAGAAAATAAATCATTATCCTAATATCTGTAACTTTTAAGATTCTGTAGTGAACTCTATCGATTTATTAAACTACATATGACTCTACTCTTAACACTAGGCATCATTTGTATTCAAAAATGTTTTCAAATTTTAATAATCTCAAACAAAACGCAAAACATCTTGGCTACATATCATCGTGTCTGGCCTTCATATAATGTTTCATGAATTATTATTCCTGTTGAATGAGTTAGTAAAAGTATCAATTAAATATCTATATTCACGTTTTCTCCGTCTTGTTAGGTACTGCCAACTGCTCTTATTCTCGATTGATCATTGTCGGTACCACATGATATTTATATCCAACATGTGAAAGATCTATGTTAACAGTACAATTACTTATTTTTACTACAGGTTTTTAGTATTAGTTTTTAAGTGTGAAGTTCAAAGTTGTTAACTGAATTATTTAATAATTAATATAAAAATTAAAAGTAAACTAGCTATATGGATTACTTTACAAAGTAAGATATACAGTCATAAACCAATACACAAGAAAATTACAACCTATAATTCAATATTAATTCACGTTGTGTGTTTTCTGTGAACTCCTCCCATGACTTTGGAACCAGAAGGATAAAACTTGGCAGATGGACTAGAGATGCCCCCCGGGGGGACTTTAAAACTTGGCAGGTGGACTAGAGATGCCCCCCCGGGGACTTTATCTATACGACGTAGCTTCCCTCCACGTATAAAAAGAGGGCTAAAAAAGGTCATCAATGCGTAATGGTGGTCTAAGAGCAGGCTTTTAGGGTAGCTAAACCTGAATCTAGCATTGGGTTTTGTATTATTCTCCACTAAGGAACCTGGAGACGTCATGTTCGAAACTATGTTCATACTTCCAATTCACAAGCTAGTAGACATGCTCAGGTACCACGTACGGGTGTACTGACGGGGTTTGATTTCGGTTGCGTACTCTCCTCCTAGACAGTTAGTTCTGGTAGCTATAGAAACCGAGAAGACTGATCGGTACATTGGAGACTATGAATCACGAGAGGCCCTTTTAACCATGCTAGAATATTTTATGTTAGTGATTATAATTTAATGACTCATTGATTGGGTAACCTCGCTATAAACTATATTCGCGGCCGTAATCTCAGATTAGAGAAGATTTAGTTTAATATTATATCAGTGTACTAAATGAATAAAATAAGCTTATTAAATATATGTAATATAACGTATTACAAACCGGAAAGTTAATTGTATTATGCGGTCAGATAATCTAATATGCAGATATTGGTTAGCATCTTAACCGTTTAATATATGTCAACAGAAAATTGCATTTATGGGGTTTTGTGTTATTTTTATTTCACAATATAGTAATCTAATTTAATTTAGGTATGTGAATATTATAGCATTGCGCCTAATTTATTATTCGATATTATACAGCGGATATGATCACTAAAGTATTACAGGTTTCTTTTCTTTTTCACCAAAGGTGAAAATGAAAAGAGAATGGGTGACATAGAAGCCTAATGCATTCCTTGACTGGCCGTAAATTTTGCTGTGGATTGCAGCTTCACCTATTCATCGCTCATTTACATTAGCACAACTTGGATCAGCAAGCTAAATAAATATGGTTAGGCCTCTTATAATGATGATACATACATACTTAATTCACTATATACTAACCTAAATTGCATTGTTATATCAGTTGACTAGTGAGTTAGTGAATATCCAGTAAGTTTCAGTTAGAACAGCTTTGATATTTTAAATTTAGAAAATTCATAAGTTGGTAATGGGTGCTCCATTAACTATCTGCTTTCCCTATAGTCTATCACCTGAGAATCAGGATGTAGCTATGTACGAAAATCCTGAAACAAACACTTTTCAGCTTCCGGCATTAATAAGTGTGTTCGTTGCTTTCCCTATAGTCTATCACCTGAGAATCAGGATGTAGCTATGTACGAAAATCCTGAAACAAACACTTTTCAGCTTCCGGCATTAATAAGTGTGTTCGTTTGTTAAAAACGATATATCCTCTAACCGTGTTCTATAAATAATGCTCTCTACTCATTAAAATCACATTTAAATTACCAAAATAAAAATACAATGAATAGTGTTAGGAAATTATAAAATATTCAATTAAAAAAAATAGAGAGCTTTATTCTTTTTCCTTTTTATTTTAATTGAATGTTTTATAATTTCCTAACACTATTCATTGTAGTTTTATATTAAAATTACTAAGTTTGTTAAACATAGCTTAACGCAACCTCCACTTACAGCAGGTGCCATTAACTACTACTCAAATGTGGTGCTCTCTCTTACTGATCACAACAAATAATTAACGAAAATTTCCTCAGTTTCAAAAAATGCATTAGTTTACCAAACTCTGAAAAGCTACATAAGACTATTCGATTTTTTCATTACGTTTTTGTGGTTTTAAAATTGTAATTAATTTTCTCTTATATAAAAGCATATCAAATTTCAAGTTAAAAAAGTATTCTCGTTACTGATTTTGTTTCCGATACTTTCTGTTAATATTACTGATTTTGTTTGTGGTACTTTCTGATAATGTTCTGAGAAATAACATGAAAGGTGCTGTTGGTTACGGTCGTAATTTCGTTACTTCCCAAATTTCACATACCTAATTGGTACGCTGATTATAGTGGTTTTGTCTTAAGAAAAAAATTGTCTTTAGTAGAATAAAAATAAATAACTGTTTTTACGAAAAAAAATTGTAAGAAATGGTAATAAACAATTAATTCTAGTGGTATTACACTCAATATCAATAATAAAAATGTACTTATATAATATATAATAAAATGCCAACTATAAAGTGTATATCTTTAAAAAATTAGGAACAATTAAAATGTCTCTAAGGAACATATTTTCTGAAATTAGGCCATTTCATTTCCACGTTAATGAAACGATTATTTGTGGTATTCTGTTAATTGTAGCGCCTTCTTGCGAAACTAATACGTCTGAATTCAACTGATATCTCAATGTTAATTAGGAGATGATTATTTTAATAACCTAAAAATTTAAAAGCCATAAAGTTATGAAGCCAAGAACTGGCCAACAAGTGAGAGAGCTTGGAAAGTTTAATCGATTTACGACTTTGCGATTTGTTAAGAACATGATACGCTTATATACTTTCATAAGTCAAACAACCCGTTTTTGGTTATAAGAAGCCTTTCAACAATTTTTTTAGAAGTCGTTTCGGATTTATATTAGTATTTGTTTTTAAATGTATGTTTTATATTCTAGGTTAAACGAATAAAATCTTAAATTTTATATTTCTTTAAGATAACATTCAATTGTGTAAACTCCATCTTACATTTTAATATGTAGTGTTAGTACTAGCAATATAAATCCCTTTGTTGACAAATTATTTACATTATTAAGTATACATGAGGAAATACGTTTGCAAGGCTATATTTTGCGACATAGTGTTTTCTCGTGTATGGTGGCTATTCCGTGTTTCCAGAAACAAAGAAACTTGTCTCGGAGTAGACCTGGCTTCCAATGTGAGAAACATTTTACCTTTAGCCAATATGTAGACTGTTAGCGAGAGTTTGTCATATAACTTTGCAACATGTCCATTTCAAAAGAAGATGGAAGGCTTTGCAATTTTGCTACAGTTAATAACTTTATTCAAAAGTACGATAATGTTTCCTGACAATATTTGTATAAACATGTTTGGGAAAAACACTTTTCTGGAAACATGCTTCCTCGTGTACACAGTCTTTTAAACAAACGCTAAAACCTGTGTGGAGTAATAGAGAACATTGTTTGTTTGTTTGTTTTGAATTTCGCGCAAAGCTACAAGAGGGCTATCTGCGCTAGCCGTCCCTAATTTAGCAGTGTAAGACTAGAGGGAAGGCAGCTAGTCATCACCACCCACCGCTAACTCTTGGGCTACTCTTTTACTAACGAATAATGGGATTGACCGTCACTGTATAACACTCCCACGGCTGAAAGGGCGAGCATGTTTGGTGGGACGGGGATTCGAACCCGCGACCCTCAGATTGCGAGTCGAGCTCCCTAACCACCGATAGACCATAATGATATTAATGATACGAAAGAGAACCCATTTAATGTTAAAATAACTAACAGTGTATAAGCTTTTTAAATATCGTTAGCTGATGAAGTGTAACTAGTCACCTGGGAGTTAGTTCAAAGCGAAAGAATCAAAAGTTGTCGTCTCAGATTTAAAAATATAAACATAATTTTAAATATTACACTTGGTGTGGTTATGAATGCAACTGGATTTAAGTTACTAATCAGTTTGTTAACTAATGTTTCCATGTAATGTTTGTTTAGCGAAAACTATACAACCCTGAATCTACGCTCTATCGACTTCGAATAACCGAATCACGGAGTTTAGCGTTTGATACATAACGAAAACATTCTATCCATACTATTTTGCAAAAAATAAAAATAGTATAAAAATGAGTAAATATTCTGTTAGGTAATAAAAGATAATGCACTTACTAAACAAAGTTTACATTTATACAGGTCAGAATTATGATACTTGTTAATTGAACAATGAAACATGAAATAACATAAGAAGCTAATTAGATTGTACGTTTTTCAAATAAAATTCACATGTTGGATAGTTATACCACATCGTACCAAAAATGCAGGATAAAGAATATATTTGTACGATTTAGAATGTAAAATATGGTAAACAATAAAGTACTCCGGTAGCATTACATGTATTATTTGACTGTGTTTTACACGCCAACTGAAACGTTTATTTATCTATATATACAGAGTTGTGTAGCTATTTATTGATCCTCTTAAGCTTCTGTTGTGCGAAAACAAGTCTTACGATGCGAAATAAAACAAACTTTAATACGATCTATAACCATACCAAACACCTACAATACATAAACGATACATACGAAATAAAACAAACTTTAATACGATCTATAACCATACCAAACACCTACAATACACAAACGATACATACGAAATAAAACAAACTTTAATACGATCTATAACCATACCAAACACCTACAATACACAAACGATACATACGAAATAAAACAAACTTTAATACGATCTATAACCATACCAAACACCTACAATACATAAACGATACATACGAAATAAAACAAATTTTAATACGATCTATAACCATACCAAACACTTACAATACATAAACGATACATACGAAATAAAACAAACTTTAAAACGATCTATAACCATACCAAACACCTACAATACACAAACGATACATACGAAATAAAACAAACTTTAAAACGATCTATAACCATACCAAACACCTACAATACACAAACGATACAAATAAGCAAATAAACATACACAAAGTTCTAAACATGAAAGCACGGCAATCTGTATACAAAACTAGGTATAATTAATTGTAATTAATATAAAATAAGCAAGCAAAACAAAGACATTAGTAACTCTTAATGATACGAAAGAAACCCCCTTCAATGCTAACACAACAAGCATTATTCGTGCAGAACAATACAAAAGAATGAAACAGATACGAACCATTAGGTGTGCGATTCCAGAGTGTTGTTGCTGAAAGTAAAAGAATAGGTGTAAGAAAATTTTTAAAATAAACCAATCCTTCTCTTGAAGCCGGTGTCCTGGAAGAGTAATAATTAGTAACATGATTTTTATTGTGTTAAATATTTTCATCAGTCTGGAATTTCCAGGCCATATTTTTTCTCTAAGATTTATGTTTAAGGGTAAAAAGGCTCTTTGAACTTTAAATGTAGCAGTATTCAAGTAAAGTATTTACAAAATATAAAAGTAAAAACTGCAGTTTTGCATTCAACTCAGATTAATAAAATTAGCAATGATAATACTTAGATAAAGGTTTCTTGAAATTCTGAATTTTATAAATAACATGAAATGCCATGTCAAATCAATTGTATTACTTATTTGAATATCATAAAACTCAATAACAATATAATGTAATTTTGTTTGAAGATTCCGGACCGTGATGCGGACGGCTAGCACTTAATATTTGGACTCGGACAACATATTACAATGATTAATTTTACCCTCGGTACATATTTTTCATTAAAAAAGGTAATATAATCGGCAATTTTGCTGATGACACAGATATAGTTTAAATATATCTGAATACGTGAAAAACCACGATGATGTGTATCCTTACCATAGACACAAACAGTGATGTAACTTTACGATGATGTGTATCCTTGCCCATAGACACAAACAGTGATGTAACTTTACGATGATGTGTATCCTTGCCCATAGACACAAACAGTGATGTAACTTTACGATGTGTGTATCCTTGCCCATAGACACAACCAGTGATGTAACTTTACGATGATGTGTATCCTTGCCCATAGACACAACCAGTGATGTAATTTTACGATGATGTGTATCCTTGCCCATAGACACAAACAGTGATGTAATTTTACGATGTGTATCCTTGCCCATAGACACAACCAGTTATGTAACTTTACGATGATGTGTATCCTTGCCCATAGACACAACCAGTGATGTAACTTTACGATGATGCGTATCCTTACCCATAGACACAAACAGTGATGTAACTTTACGATGATGCGTATCCTTACCCATAGACACAAACAGTGATGTAACTTTACGATGATGCGTATCCTTACCCATAGACACAAACAGTGATGTAACTTTACGATGATGCGTATCCTTACCCATAGACACAAACAGTGATGTAACTTTACGATGATGTGTATCCTTGCCCATAGACACAACCAGTGATGTAACTTTACGATGATGCGTATCCTTACCCATAGACACAAACAGTGATGTAACTTTACGATGATGTGTATCTTTGCCCACAGACACAACCAGTGATGTAACTTTACTTCAATTACAACCCATCGTTTAAGCATACCTGTAATACGCATTTGATGAGCTCACTGATATATAGCAATGTAACACCAAAAAAATTGTTTGATATATGGATGTTCAATCAAATTTTGGAAGGAAAAAAGCACAGAGGGAGGTGGTAGTTCATTTAGTGTATATCTAGGCCTGCAGCAGGAAGAATGTAAGTGGTAGTTCATTTGGGGTGTATCTAGGCCTGCAGCAGGAAGAATGTAAGTGGTAGTTCATTTTGGGCGTATCTAGGCCTGCAGCAGGAAAAATGTAAGTGGTAGTTCATTTTGGGCGTATCTAGGCCTGCAGCAGGGATAATATAAGAACACTGTCGGACCGGGTCTTTGGACCAGATAATCTGGAAGATTAATTACAAACATTTTGTACGTAGCATGGTTAATAAATAAACTTAGTATTCCGAAAATTGTTTAATCTCGAAGTTTCAGTTCAAGGGAGGTCCAGTTCAATCTAAACTTTGATCAACGTGTGTTATTGGGTTATACTAGTTTCGGATAATTTCACTCCTCATCAGTAACCCTGAACACAAGTTAACCAAATAGAGATAAGCTGGATCCAAGTTTATTTATTATACTTGCTATTATGCGGCTATATAATGTGAAGAACTGAATAGTGGCCAATGACACATTTTCTTCACTTCACCTATCCAGTCTATAGGATTTTCTCATAGCGACTACAAAGCATGTTTGATGTAACACGATTGTTAGGATTCACTAATCCACTGCTGCTGGATAGCAAGGAATAATTATCAGTGATTAAATAGAAAGGATTAAACTTCGTGAGTATGGCTTACGGTCAAAAAGGCCTCTTTCGGTCTCACAGTTGATCGCACAGTTCATTCGGTTTTTGTTTAGGTCACAAGAACAGGCAACAACGCCACTGAAAGCCTGCGTGTTTTACAGATAAATCAAGACTTTATGTCTCAACTTACTAATGATAGACGGTTCCTGTTTACTTCCTGTCTAAAGAAACATACAGGTTAACGATGATCGAAGTGTAAGATCACTTAATATGGTATACTCGTTTTGGTAGGATCCAGTTATGTAGCATTAATACGAATGTATGTAATGATCTTATTATGCTTTCGAAAGGTTTAAATATTGCTTGACGATAAACTGATGTGACATTGGACTCAGTTGTACAACCTTTTGTACGTACAATAGGACAAAACTATGTCTTGATACATGACAATAGTTTGCGTCACGCTGCGAGGACTGGGTTAGATCAACCTTTAACAAGAAGCAATAAGGCTCAAGGGTTGGGTAGCAAGAGGTTCTGACCTAAATTAATTCAAAGAGCTTTTGGGACTTCACTAGACACGTTTACGTCAACACCAGAACCCACCGAGAACATCAGAGAGATTTGTGAAGTATTTACAGAAAAAAGTGATAAATCACCCATAACTCATCAAATTTCGTTACGCAAATTTAAATATTATATCAGTATAAAAGGATCCACTCTCGTTCCTGAGTGTCTCCTTTTCCTAAATGCGACTCTTTTGGACAAGTTAAAGCAGTAACTGGCAATTTTAAGCGTACTAATTAATGTTCTACAGGTTGCAGCTAGCGATATTAATTATATTTCGTAAATAAACAGTGTTTATAATATATTCTCTAACAATAGCTATTTTTGCTCATTTCGCCGAAGAATAATTTAATTACAAAATTTCACCTTTTTATTTTTTACAGTAACATATATGATTAGCTTAACAACGACATTAACATAAGTTCAGAGACAATCTTTTAACAACATGGGTTAAACTGTTACAAATTATTATGGACACGTCCTTCCTATCATACAAGGACCAACATCAAAACATTTCACTCACAGATTACGTATTCTCGAACAGGATAAATCAGACAAGCTATTTATATTGAAATATATTTTAATAAACTTGGTTGCAACCCTAGTTAATATACATACTTTACTGAAATTCGTCACAACATTGTTTAATATGTTTATATGCTCGCTATGTGTTTATAGAGTTCTGTCTTAGAGCTAAGTTTAGACACTTTGCAATTGATGCTGACTGGCATATACAAACAATTTAGACTGAGTATGATTTAACAGTATATAGATTGCTATCTTAACACAAATCTAAGTTTACACGTTTTACAGTTGACGCTGTCAGACATGTACATAAAATTTAGGTTGATCATGTTTTAATTACGACAGAAAAAAACGCTACAAAGAAGATCGGTGCTTCCGAGAAATAACTTTTCATTTTTATTTTTTGAGTGGCAATTTGTTATTTTAATAAAATTATATTATCCCAATATTACAAAATTCATTCGGGAAACCTAAACGATATGATTTTTTTTCTTCATGACAGTTGGTTATAAAATTAATATCCTGTAATAAGAACTTGACTAACGAACTCAGTCAAGGTTTTTCCTTGCAACACTAGGCTTGATTTTCTTATAACCTTGTCACTTCATTTAGACACGTCGTATTATCTAAATAATCTGGATATTTAGGGTTGGGCGGTTTTACCAAGCTAATTTATTTTCTACACCGTTTCTCTAATTCTCTATCCTGTTAAACAGGTATTTCGCACTATCACTGTCCAGCGCGTATCATGTCTTGAAGCAGCATGTTGTGAACGCACGAGCGTGTTGTCTTCAAGCTACAACTGTTGATAATTTAAATGTTGTGTTTGGCTATCCCACGGTCATGCAGTCAGTCAACCCTGCAATTAATTACACGGGGTTTTCCGCAAGCGTGACTTAAGAGCTAAACCAGTTCGTTTTGAAACCCATGAGTGAGTACAAATACTTCGTGAAACGGTCGTCGCTACGAGTGAAAATCTCTATGAATACAATCACGAAATACCAGCTATTGTGCTTACTCAAGCCATTCTGTCCATCCCCATTCGTACAGAGAATACGTAATGAATCCAAACTAATAGATATGCATAGTTAGTTTTAAACAGTCGAAAAGTGATAATGAAAACTGAGAAATTTTTACGAAAGATATAAAAAAAAAAGACATCAGATCATGTTTCAAACACAAATGCATACTAAAAATGACACAGGAAAGAAATACATCTTTAATAATGTACTAAAGAAAATAATCATCAAAAAGTCTTCGAGTCGTTGCAACGAAAACGTTTGAGATTAAAATGCTATTATCATTTTCCAAATCATATAGCAAGCACACATGTTAAACCAGCTTCTGAAACTATTTTTTTTTTAAATAACTGGTGTGGATACTTCTACAGTTCAATAATGGACTGCGTGAAGTTTAAAGAAAGGATATTAAATGCATAGTAACATCAAAGCGTGGTTCTCAACCATTTGAGAACAGTATTAGACAAAGAATAAATTATCATAGAACATCAGAAGCAAAACTATATGCTATAACTAATGCATAATAATGTTATGAGTTCCCCGACAAACACGCATTTCATGTGCTAACATCTTCCGTGCAGAGTTCAAGTAATGTAATATTCTGAGCACGGAAGATGCTTTCCTTTTGTTGGTAACGGCACGAAAGACTCAACATAACTAATCTTTAGAAAACTATCTCGGGAGTAATGCCACGAATGGCTTTCACGTATACCATTATCGATACTGGCCGAAGTATTATCTTCCATAAAAACTGCAATGAGAATGACATACAAGTAGAAGAATTTCATAGACATACATATATATATATAACTTGCAAAA